GGACAGTGTCCAGGGCCAGCCAGGGTTCAAGCCCCACGTCCCGGGAAAAACCAAACCAAAAAAAAAAAAAAAAAACAAAACCAAAAAAAAAACAAAAATCATGAAAATACTAAGGCAATGTGTGTGTGTGTGTGTGTGTGCGTGCGTGCCTGCGTGTGTATCACAGTATATATGTATGTGTATAAATATATGTGTGCATGTATATATACACATATGTGTATAAATATATGTGTGCACATATATATACACATGTGTATAAATAAACGAATAGATGTGTGTTTATACATATATACGTCTATGTATAAAATGAATATATATAATATATATTACACACACACACACACACACACACACACACACACACACGCCACGTACATAGTACATAGACAGATAAAGCCAAAAGTGGAGCTCTGGTTCAAGTGATAGACTGCTAGAATTGAGCCAAAAAAGCTGAGTGGCTGAGTGACAGTGCCTTGACTTCGAGTCCCAGGATTGCCCACCTCTCCCCCCCCCCATAAAAAAGAGAAAAAGGAGAGGGGGGGGAACACAAAGAAAGAAAGAAAGAAAGAAAGAAAGAAAGAAAGAAAGAAAGAAAGAAAGAAAGAAAGAAAGAAAACAAGCGTTAATGATCTGTTTATCTTATCTGTAAAGAAATACCCCAAACATCTAGAGTTGAGATTGGAGCAAAGATAAAACAACTATCTGTGCATAATTCAGTTGCCACATTCCCCCCGACCCCCCACTTTAACCCTGAAAACACCCATGAAGTCAGGAGCTGTGTGGGTCTCTCTGTCTGTCTGTCTGTCTGTCTGTGTCTGCTTTTTTTTTTTTTTTTGTGGTTGGGTTGTATGGTTGTCTGGTTGCCTGGTTGCCTGATTGCTTACTCCATAAAACTCCACCAGAGTGACTCCTCCAGAAATTCTTATTCAATGATCAAAATCAAGGGTCCTAAGGGAAGAGTCCCTACATGGAAGGGTAAAAAGTCACTAGCCCTCACCTGTGTTTGGTGACAAGAAGAACTCCATACCAATCGTCTACCTTCATACATGAGGGCAGGGCAGGGAAGGAGAGATTAGGAGCAAGCCCGAAGGCGGGGAGGGGGGGGGGGGGGGGGGGGGGAGGGCGGGGTGGAGAGGCGGATCTATGGAACGAACGACTCCTCCCCCCTCCCCTTCCCCGCCCCCAACACGTCGGCTGTCGAAACCCCGCCCTCCTTCCCGTCGTCACCGGTACGACAGAGGAAAGACAACTGGTCGACCTCCGTACCGCCAGGGCGTGGCTGGAGGGAAGGAGGCCGCGGGCGCCCGGGGCCGGAGCCCCCAGAGACTAAGTCCGAAACGGAAGGGACAACTGGTTGACCGCGGTGCCGAAGTGCGGAGGGAAATGGGTCAAGTCCCCGCGTGGCAACTGGTCAACCCGACTCGTCTCGGAGGGAAAGACAGAGCAGGGGGCGCTCGGGCGGCCACCCTCTCCGCCGCGGACGGGTGTGGGCCGGCGCGTGGAGAGGAGGGGGGGGTGGAGAAAAAGCGGACGGGTGGACGGGACCGCCCCTCTCCACGGCGCCGGGGACGCGGACCGGGAACCGCCACACCCGGGCGGCGAGGGGGGGGGGGGGACGTGGAGGGCGAAACCGGGAGCCGCACCCACCCCCTCCCCGACGCCGACGCCAACGCCGGCCGAGCCCCGCACACACACGACCCCAGCCTCGGGCCGGCGGGGACGCGCGGGCGAGAGGCCCGCCGGCCGCGCGCGCGCGGACGGGAGAGTCGAGCAAGAGCGTGCGGAAGGAGGAGCGGCCCCCCCCCCACCCGAGACGGGATGGACGGGAAGGTGACCGCCCCCGAACCCCACCCCACCCCACCGGGACGGGGGGGGGGGGGCGGTCGAAAAGACAAACCCTTGTGTCAAGGGCTGACTTTCAATAGATCGCAATAAATCTTATAAACCATGGGAAGGTAAACTGAGGACCTTCCCAAGCTAGGCACATTCAGTAATGACTTCTCGAGCAAAGAATAACAATCAAGGTCATAACAGGAAGGAAAAAATTAGAATGTCTCTTCCCTTCCCCTCTCCTCTTCTAGTTCCAAAGAGGATTCTTAAGGAAATTGAATTTGAGGTGTGGTTTTTTTTCTTCATAACCAGAGACACTTGTTGATCAAAGCTGCACACCAGCCCAGACTTCCCACAATACAGACTCTGCCCTATGAACCCAGCTTTAACCTCGGACTTCTTTCATCACTTTTGCAATATAGGATGCACCCAGCAAGCGAAGGGGCTTCAGAGACTTTATCTTCCTCCCACAGACAAGACTAATTCCAGGGGGGAATTCATTGACTAAAAGTGAACCAGAATATGATGCTCTCAGAGTGAGCCTTCCTATAAGCACAGTAATGGTCATTAAACTAAATAATATATAATAAAGGGTTGCCTGATCGTGGTGGTTTACACATGTAATCCTAGCTATTGAGGAAGCTTAAGTCTGAGGATGGGGGCTTGATCTCAGGGCCTGAGCCCAGGGCTAGTGCTCTACCACTTGTACCACAGTATTACTTCCAGCTTTTTCTGATTAGTTTATTGAGATAAGACTCTCATGTGACTTTCCTGCTCAGTCTGACTTTGAACCATAATCCTCAATCCTCAGCATTCTGAGTAGATAGTATTACAGGCATGATCGACTAATGCCCAGCAGCCTCCATCTTTCAGATGTACCTCTCCTCTTTCTCACTCAGAACCAGACATACAACACTTCATCCTGGTCCTGAGTTCACTCCAGCCCTGAAAGTTTCACCCTAGCTATTGCCTCTGTCATATGCTTTACTATATTGCCCCAAAGCTGGCTCCATGTCATCCTACAGGTCTTGGCTTCAATGGACCTCTTCACAGAGATCCATTTTTTGTGGATTGATTCTGGGGTTTGAACGGTTTTAGACTGAGGATTTGGGGAATGTTGCTTAGCTTTTTTTTTAATCTCAAAGATAGTATTCTACAACTTGAGCCACAGTTTCCAATATGACTTATTGCTAGTCAATAGGAAATAAGAATTTTACAGACATTTTTGTCCAGGATGACTTCAAGCCACAGTCCTCAGGTCTTAGCTTCCTGAGTAGTTAGGATTACAGGTGTGAGCCAAAAGCACTCAACTTACAATAACCCTTTCAAGCACTCTCACCTGC